ACAGGAGGCCACTTCACCCCACAAGCATGCACACTCAAGCAGACAGTAAATATTATGCAGCCCGGCAGCTGCATGGCTAGACGGTGTCTTCAGCTTGGGCTTGCAGAACAGCACAAAAGCATCACGGATGTTCTCGAACCTTTTCTTGGCCCAGCAGTCCGTCGTGGGGCAGACCCTGCCGGCAAAGGTCTTGTTCGGTCCATCTCCCCCTCGCTGTCGGGGCCTTTTCCCCGGCTTGGCCGCCTTGGGCTCCTGAGCGGGCCCATCTGCCAGGGCACACACACCTTTATCAGGCGTGCCCTCAAGCTGAGCTGAAAGCTCACGGTGAATCGCAACCTCGGTCTCCGAGTCAACCCGGGCCTCTGCAGCCATCGCCTCAGGAACCGAGGCCCCACCTGGTGGGGACTTTGGGTCCTCAGAGGCTTTCGCTTTGGCTTTAGCCTTCGATTTCGCCTTGCCTTTGGCCTTGCACTTAGCCGAACACTTCGCCGTAGCCTTTGCCGCCGGTTTGGATGCCGATGGCTTTGCTCTCGCCTTGGCCTTGCCTGCAGCCTTAGGAGCCTTTGGCTTGCCTTTTGCAGCAAGGCCTGTAGCCCCGTCATCATCCCCAGCCGCCTCTGAAGGATCCTCCTTCTTGTCAAGGGCCCTTGCAAGCCTCTCGGTTGCCAGGTCACCTTTAAGTGCCACCTGATCCATCCTCTTGATCTCAGCTTCATCGAAGAACATGTCATCTGCAGGGTTGGGTGCCTCGAAGTCCTTGGGTGCCTGGAGGTCCTTGGGTGCCTCGAAGTCCTTGGGTGCCTCGAAGTCCTTGGGTGCCTCGAAGTCGTTGGGTGCCTCGAGGTCGGGCTTGGTGCCAGCATGCTCAGCTGGAGCCTGCTGGTTGCCATCACAGACACTATCATCGCCAACATGCCCATTCACGGCTTCCGGCGTGGGGGAGGTCGTGGTGCTTCTGCTTTCAGAAGCCACAGGACTCGACAAATCAACAGCATCAGCTTGATCGAATCGTTTCATAAGATTCTGTGCAACCGGTGACATGTCGGTCTGGCATGTGTCAACTGCATCCATGCTCAAAGCTTGCCCTCTCAAAGGACGGGCACACTGACGAGTGGCCTGGCGTCGCTCGATTTCTCGCCTCGGCAATCGCACCATGTGATAACACACTATACCCATGCATGCATGCTTCGCCAAGCCATCCAAGCAACTTCAGCATCTGCAGGCGTGCAGCTGCCCCGGTGGGCAGACCATGACTGAAGTCGGCGTGCAATCTCGGAGCCTTCTTCGGCGGCTCCGGCGGCGAATCACCCAACTCAATCACCGCCGGACCATCAGCTTTCGGCTTAAGCGGAGGCTTCTCTGTCGACAGCTCAAACTCTTCCAACATCTTTGTCAAACCTGTCGCCAAGTTTGCAGTCGGGGTGCTTTGCACGGCATCCGAGCCAAGAGCCTTGGCCATGAAAGCATCATCACTGTGGCTGGTTTCAGCTGCATGCAGGAGGCTTTCCCTCTCAGCCATCTCGGGCGATCGTCGGCTCAACACGTTCATGTAGGCATCAACACTTGCCCGGTCACACTCAGCCTGCTCCTGAGAATCATCCTCAGGATGAAAGTCCTCGGAGGGGACGGCAGCCTCGTCATCCTCGTCCTGCTGGCGTTCTGACTTTGTCCTCTTTCGCTTGGAAATCGTAGGTTCCCAAAACTGAAGTGCTTTGTCGAACAAAGCACGAGTGCGAGGATCCTAGGCTTCGGTTCCCTGAGGCGAAAGCAGAAGACATGCAACACGGCAAACAAATATAGCTGCTGCAAAGCGGCTTTTCGTCGTGCACCGTCGTGCCGTCTTACCATGTATGACATAAGTGATCTCAATGTCACTGCATCGCACTGCACCCGGACCGAATTTGGTGCCATCCCCAGGTCGTCTCGAAGTTTCTCGATCTGCAGTGATGGACAGCAGACTTACAACTTAAATGCAACACAAAAGGCACACACACACATGCTCTCACATACCCTGCAGCTCCCAACAGTTGCCTCAGCTTTCGCGTGCTCGATGTAGATGGATTTGGCTGTTGGGGTCTGGCAGCACCAGAAATCCAGTAGGTGGCCAATGGATGCATGGTTGAGGGCCAAACTTGCAAAACTAGCAATCCCCGTGGTCTTCTTGCAGGGCCAAATGAACAGCGACCCAGTCTTCAAAAGAGGCTCTCGCACCCTTGAATCGTCGCCCCATGCCTTTGCAAGCCCACACAGGTCAACCCCTTCCGGAGCAGGGCTCTCCATGTCTTCAGCCATGCTCGTGATGCACTAGCCAGCCCTGCTGTACCAAGCAACAAATGCTGTGAGTTCCAGCTATCAGACAAACCTCCCCACGAGATCATGCAACAATTGACTGAGCATCACAAATCATCGGCTGGGAGGGCACGGCTCCAAGAATGTTCTGGTAAGCGAAGCCGGGAATCCCCGGCGAAGATAGACCTGGGCAAAAAAGTTGGGTCGGTTTATTGTTGGTTTGAAGTTGTTAAAGCCAGACTTCGTGCATAAGGAAAGGACAGGAGAGCAATCCAAGTCGTGTCGGGCAGCAAATAACACCGATGGCACCTCTAACAGTCATTCAAATTATATCGTCTGTGTTCAAGGCCGGCCCTGCCTTGAGGATCCAAAGAAGCTGAAAGCCAGCCTCGGAAGTGGGAGGTGGCTACTTCGGCTATACATAAACCAGCTAGGTGTAATGAGGGAAGCACTGAAAACCAGCAGAAGAACCGATGCGGCGGCCAGGGTGGGCATCCAGGAAAAACCTCCATGGTCGTTCTCTGTTTACATGAATTGCAACAATAGTGGTAGGGCCTGCCACGAATCAATGGCCAGCCGTAGAAAGCTTTGCATCCATGTCGAAACCTGCGGAGGGGGTGGGCTCAGGGATCATAGTGTTGCAGCTCACTGTGCGACAGCTAGAGACTCACAGAGTGCATCAAGTATCTTTGTTCGCGTGGCATTCCTACGGCGATCGTCCCCTGATCGCCCATGCTAACGAACTGGAATCGACCGTATAACTGCAGCCGGCCTGTGCATGACCACAGCACTATCGATCGATGCTATATAAGCTTCAGCAGCAGAAACAGCTCTTGCCACCAGAAACAGCCCTTGCCACCAGAAACAGCCCTTGCCACCAGAAGCAGCCCTTGCCACCAGAAGCAGCTCTTGCCACCATCACACCTGTGCAGGCGATCTCTTCGATGCACCATTGCCGCCTCAGCCAAGCGTGAGGGGAAAAAACCGTACTGTGTGGCCCCTGGTCCCATGAAGCAANNAAATCCCCCCCTTCCCAGGAGTCCGAAAGTAACCCCATTCTATTGTAAGCCCAAGGCTGGAGTATTTCTTGATAATCCCAGCCAAATAGTGCACCACACCTTTAAGGCGATAGTTGGCAAGCATGGTCCACAATCGCTCATCGTCCGGCCGAGCCTGGTGTTTTGGCGGTTTATAGGGCTTGTAGGGTTTAAAGGTTTTTAGGGCTTATATAGGCATATGGGTTTAAAGGGGTTTAAAGGTTTATAGGGTTGACTGGAGGGATGTAGCTACCACGAATCCCAAAGGTGTGTCATGCCTATAGAGCTTGTAGGGTTTTAAGGTTTTTAGGGTTTATATAGGCATATAGGGTTTAAAGGTTTATAGGGTTGACTGGAGGGATGTAGCCACCACGAATCCAAAAGGTGTGTCATGCCTATATAGAGCTTGTAGGGTTTAAAGGTTTTTAGGGTTTATATAGGCATATAGGGTTTATAAAGGTTTATAAGGTTGAGTGGAGGGATGTAGCTAGGGTTTAAAGGTTTTAGGGTTTATATAGGCATATAGGGAGCTACCACGAATCCAAACGGTGTGTCATGCCTGTGCTGCATCGAGCGGGTAGAGCACCTCCTGGCATCTCATCCAGAAAAGATCTGGCATATCCAAGAGACCTGATGTTTGGGTTTCACCATGTTTCAACTGTAGGTTTAAGTCTCATACATATAAGTAGCCGGCCTTCGCGACTCAACTCATTCGAGAGCACGACGTTAAGATTGCAGAGGACCATCTTTCAGAGGCGAATCTACTGCAAAAGCGAAACTCCAGCAAACAAAGCTATGTAAGCCCAACAGAGCGACGGAGAGTGCATCAGTCACAGGCACATCAAATGCCACAGCAATGCAAACATGTCCGACACAATGCAATAATGTGCAGAGCTCCGGGGAGGGGGTGGCACCAGTCATCATCATCGCCCCCAAAAGGGCTCCAAAAGCTGATCGTTCGAGCCCGAAACATGTAGGATTTGTCTATGAAATCAAGACTCCGCCTGCCGGCTTTTTTTTTGCCTGGCACACCCGCCAGGCGCCTGACCCTATGCCAGGCATAATATTCTGCCCGCACGGAGGGTGTAGGTAAGATTCAAGACTCTTTGGAGACGCTGCAAGCTTTTCGCGCACAGGTTTCTGGAGATGTCCTGCTCAATTCTTTTCTGAATGACCTCTTCTGTGTCTTCGATGATTGCCTGACAATGATTCTAGGATGGGCTCATCGCAGAAGACCTGCGGAAAGCCCTGCGACTGCGACAGAGCTTTGAAACCTCACTTCAGCAATCGCAGCGGAAGCAACCCGCAAAACCTGCACATTTTAGCTGGCTGTTTGTCGTGTCAGCCATGCTTTTGCTCCTATACTTTTAGCCTTTCGAAGCCGAAACCTTCATGCCAAGAGCTTCATCTGACTTGTTGTCATATCCTTTTTGAAGCCCCAAGCCGAAACCTTCATGCCAAGAGCTTCATCTGACTTTTTGTCATATCCTTTTGAGTGCATACTTACGCCATACATACACACCACACACATGTGCCTACATACGCCATACATACATACACACACACAC